GATAGAGGAAGATAGAGAAAGATGGAGGAGATGGAGGAGACAGAGGAAGACAGAGGCACCTGCACGAGGTTGTCCTTCATGCACTCGATGTTGCGGAAGTAGTTGTCGCCCGGCGCCGCGTGGTACGGCTTCTGCGCTTTGCACGGGTTGACGGACGGGTCCACCTCCGGATCCTTGAAGGCGTCCTACGGCCGAGAGTGAGCCGAGAGTGAGCCGAGATGCCGCCGACGGCCCTGGCCGCGCCGCGGCGATGCCGACGGAGGGGAGAGAGGGGGGGAGAGAGGGGGGGAGAGAGGGGGGGAGAGAGGGGGGGAGAGAGGGGGGGAGAGAGGGAGAGGGGGAGAGGGAGAGGAGAGAGAGAGGGAGAGAGGGAGAGAGAGAGAGAGGGGGGGAGAGAGAGAGAGAGAGAGAGAGAGAGAGAGAGACAGACAGAGAGAGAGAGGGAGAGGGAGAGAGAGAGAGAGAGAGAGAGAGAGAGAGAGAGAGAGAGAGAGAGAGAGAGAGAGAGAGAGAGAGAGAGAGAGAGAGAGCCGCGGGATGCGTCAGAGAGGTAGGAGGCGGTCCTGCGAGGCGGCGATGCCGACGGAGACGGAGGCGGCGATGACGAGGCCGACGAAGAGGCCCGCCACCACTTTGACGAGACCGAGCTTCGTCTTCTTCTTGTCGAACTCCTGCGCGCCCTCCTGTGGGCGTGGGGCGCGCGCGCGGGTCGGGGGCGGAATACCGCGGGGGGGGCGGGAGGGAAGCACACAAGAGGTGCGAGCAGAGCTCTCTCTGTTCCAGGGGCGCAGTGTTGCCTTCTGACTGTGTTGGGGCTGTCCTGTCCGTTCTCGACTGTCTGTGCATGTGCGCTAAGGGCCCGGCGTTGTGCGTGTGTGTGTGTGTGTGGGGGGGGGGGGGGGGGGTAAAGGGGGGCCCACCCCCCTCGAGCGAGGGGAAGCAAAGGACGACGGAAAAAACGAGGAGTGAGCAGGCGTACCCCAAGTAGCCCACGGGGAAGGCCCAGTTGTAAACAAAATGGTCCCAAAGGCGGATGGCGGGGACAAAATCCTTGTTGCACGTCCACTCCGTCTCATAAACGCCGATGGGGAGGCACACAACTTTGGTGGGAGAAAAGGGGGGGGGGAGAAAAGGAAGGAGGTTTGCTGGCGGCCCCCCCAATAAGAAAGAAATTGGGGGGGGGGGGGGGCGAAAAAGTGTTTATGGGGTGATGGGGCAAGGGGCTTGGCCGCGCGCCGCAATGAGGAAGCCCGCGGTGAGGGTGAACCAGACGAGGCCGGCGAAGCCCTTGGCGAGCTTTGCGGAGAGCGGCAGCAGGCCGACGAGCGCCAGTCCGTGGAAAATGATCATCACGGCGGAGGCAACTTCGGCGATGATGGCGAGGGACATGGCCGAGAGGCCCGCCTTCTTGAGCTCGGTGCACTCGAGGAAGTGCGCCGGGTGCTTGAGGCCTGGTGCGGGGGACAGCGGACAATAGAGGGCGGGGCTGTTGGTCGCGCGCGCGCGGCGGCGGCCGTGCAATCGGCGCACCGTCGGTCGCGATGACGCTCGGCACGGCGGCAATGACCTGGAGGAGGCCGAGCTCGTCGATGTACTCCTGCAGGGTCTCGCGGGCGCCCGCCTTGCCCCAGCCGTAGCCCGACGAGTCGTGGTGCAGGCCGACGCCGTACTGCGGGCCGAGAAGCTCGTCAGCGCGGTAGTCGAGGCCGTGATCCTTGAGGTTGATCGTCTCGCCGTCCAGGGTCGCCGTGAGTGCGGTGAGGCGGGGCAGGTTGGAGGTGTCCTTGAGCTTGATGACCGACCGGCCTGCGGGCGAGGGCTCACAGCGGTGTGGTGAGAGAGAGGCGGGGCGGCGGGACAACGTGGCGGCGGCACACCGTCGGCAAGAGCGGCGGAGGCGAGCAGGGCGATCACGCCGGCCACGACGAGGGCGAGCAGGTGCGAGAGCTTGTACGCGATATCGGACCCCGTGGCTTTCGCGGCACCGATGATCACTGCCTTTTCGTTGGGCTGACCCTCGAGCGCCTCCGCCGTTGTGGGCGTCTCCGTCAGGTCGTCCTTCGAGATGCGTTCCACGTTCTGCTCCAGCCAATCCGCCTGCGCGCGTGCGTGCAGTGGTGCGTGCGCGGAATCGCGAGACGGGGGACGGGAGAGACGGGAGAGAGCGTGCCTGCGACATTGAGAATAAATCGAAGCTCAAAGCAGGTCGATCGACTTTTTGCGAATTCTCACCACAATTATCGCGGAAATTAGCCGAGATTAAACGCTGTTCACAAAGAGAAAGGACCACCATAAAACATACGGCTTCTCCGCCAGGCCCGCGCTCACCGCCTCCACCTCCTGGCCCGACCCGATCGGTCGGTCTCTATTCCTCCCGCGCCGCCGCCCCTCCCTCGCCCGCGCGGGGGGCTCCTGATTGTGGCGCGCCTGCTGGACGCGCGGCGCGGCCTGCCTCCGGAGGTGCCTCTGAGCTGGCCATTTTGGGTCACACCGCGAGAGAACGCGATACGCGTTCGAGTTTTCACTCGGGAACTTCAAGAGTTCAACTCGCAGCTCGCGCACCGGCCAGGCGCAGGCCAGGAGGCCCTACGCGTGCTAGCGTGCAAGTGAGGCGGAGGCGCGAGTCGGAAGGCCGCGACCGTCAAGTGTTCCCCGACGAAGATACACTCGCTGTGAACTCAACCACGTTCAAAGGAAACTTGTAAAAATCTCGCATACATCTGGCCACCCCGGCGAGGGGGTCATTTAAGGGATAATTTAAGCGACTGACACGAAGCCGGAGGGTGCGCCGTTGGTAATGTCGGGTGGGACCTGGCGGCCAGCGACCGGCTCTTGAACCGCGGGAGACACAGGTCGCGCGGCCGCGGTGATCATCGTCCGTCCCGTCCCCGTCCAAACGGGCATTTCCATTGTGGCATTTGTGCAGTCGCGAGTGCCGAGTCGTGCTATTGTGCCTGTTTAGTGTTTTACAGTAGGAGGGTTGTGTGGGCCTCCCCCCGCTTTACAGATTCCACCTCACCCCTCCGGACTCCCACACAAGTCCTCAGCTCTGTCCTCCCACCTAGCACCTCCCTACTGTGCATCTCGACTGTGCATCGTAGAGCCCCCACACAACAACCCCCGGTAAGACGCAAGACCACGGCGCACGCGGCGGGACAACGAGCTCCACCCCTCCCACCGTCCTCCCACATGCTGCAACCACGATCCGTGCGCCGGCGCCAATAGCAGTACTGTACTTGGTTGCTGTCCACCTTCCTCCCAGCACATGCCTCTTCAACCACGATCCGTGGGCCGGCGCCAATAACAGTACTTGGTTGCTCTCCTTGCGCGCGGCTTA